CTGCGGCTCCTCGACGGCGGAGGCAGCGAGGCGGCGTCGGGGCGCGTCGAGCGTTAGCGCTCAGGGGGGAAATACGTGTGTGCGTGTATGTGGAGAGGTGTCCCTCCGCGGCTAGGAACTGCGGCTTCATCAGGGCTAGGCAGGGGGGAGCGCCCCGCAAGGCACGGGTCAGCCCCCCGCAAGGCACGGGTCAGCCCACAGAGCCGGCCAGGAGGACGAGGAAGAGGAGGGCACATAAATCCCCAGACCCAGTACAGAGCCCGCGACCCGTTACAGCACCGACCGTGGAAACTCTAGAGCCAGATCCTCCTCACCGGCGCCGTGCCCCCAGTTCATCGAGGCACGGGGCAAGTGGTGGGCTGTGCTTGTTAGTAATTAATGATAGGAGTGTCTTAAGGCAACCGGGTAAAGTTAGTTAACATTTCAGTAATCAAAACAGTTTTGCTTTAAACAGCAGTAAGTGGGCTGAAGATACAGCAGGTTTGAAGTGGAGAGGCTGAAGATAGGCACCTTCGGTTGATTCGAGTTTCTTCCTGTAACTCATCAAGACACACTCCAGACTACAAAAAGAAGAAAGAAGTTGGACAGTCTCCTTCAGCCCCTCACCACAACAATCCTGCATTTTCAGAATTTAAATTACTAGAGATAAGTAGAGAGGGATTTAAGAGGTTCCCACAGTGGTTTTCCTAGTTTTACTTTTCCTTTGCACTTGCAACCTGGTGTTTCTGCCCCAGGACTGCCTGGCTGTCACCAACGGTTACTGCAGTGTTTGTTACCGTATTACAGCACAAACTGAAACTCTGTCCTCCCATGAAATACTTGGGGATTACATGAGAATTCAAACCAAAGACTGAACTCTATGTCCCCTGGCTTGCTATCCTGACCCAACGCTAGTATCATTTCACCCAGCAGCAAAGTCTCTACTTGGAAAATGCCTGTCTGCTACGGCAGTGCATTTGGAACTGCCACACCAAAAAGGATTTGCCTAGCCAGAAGCCGGGGCAGATGAAAACCAGTTCTCAGACAAGGGAGGCAGATGGTATTTCTCCTTCTACTTCTGCAACATGCAGCTGTAAAAAAAAACAAAAAAACCAAAAAAAACCAAACAAGGCTGTTCCTGCTTTCCTAGTCCTTGCTATTTTTGCTTTCACCCGTTTCACTCTGCACACGAGTCTGAAACTCAGCTATTGGAGCTCCCACAGCGGTCACAGTTTACCACCCATTACAGGCACAGGTTGATAAAGCAGCCCCTGCTATTTCAAATTCATGTTGTATCTTCTTTCCTTTGAGTATCCTGGCTTGATTTAAACTGTACCAGTCAGTGAATTAACACCATCTATTCCGACTCTATGAGAAATCCCAATTTTGGGGAAACTTACCAATAATGATGATGATGATAATGAGAACAACAGCTATCAATATTGCCCACATCTGTGAAAAAAAGCCATACAACACTTACTACAAACCATGCAGCAGCATCAACTGGCCTCGAGGGTACAGGAAAGCAGCCCCTGGAAAGTACTTTTGCACCGTGCGCTAGATCTAACATGGCAAGTAAAACTTCTTCAGTAAGCAAGCTCGATTCACCATCACCACTCAGAGATGGTAGGCTGTGCACACAGGCAAAACAGACCAAGTTCTTTCCCACTGTGTCTCCACGCAAGGCCTGTTTCAGGGGACTACACAAGCGGGAGTAAAGAACTATTAAACATCACTTCTACTCTTACCCTATACCACAGCTTTCACTGTTTTTGTTGCTCACCAAACGAGATTCCAACCTTTGCCAACAACTACAAGTACAGGAGCCTGAGCAAGCTCCTTCGGCTTTCTAATACTTCCTGTGCATTAACTCAACCTATGCATTGTTGGCCGCCTTCTTCCTGTTCCCCAAAGCCTCAGATTATCGAGTTGTTTCCCTCTGGCCGTTACCGTCTCAGACAAAGTCTTGCATCAAGCAGCATGTAAAGCTGGTAATCCAGCTTGTGGTTCCTTCACCTAACCACTATGCCATGTTTTAAAAATGGATGGTGTAACTTAAATAACATTGGCTAAAGTCACTTTTACTTCTGCCTTTTGAGATGCTGATTGTAATAGTGTTAACTGCAGTACTGCACAGTGTAAGTATACAAGCCATGGTTACCTTACAGTTCTTCCACCAATACTTTCTTTTCAGCTTGGCTGCACTGGTCTCAAACTGGGAAGCTCCTGCTTGCAGTGCATCAGCACGGTCATCCAACTCTGACAGCTTCTGATCTCGCTCCAACACCTTGTCCACATTCACTCTCATGATGTCAACAACCTACATCGGTTTAATGCTTACAGTAAGTTATTAGTTTTATCACCCACTGTGGAACTTAACTGCAGGCAACAGAGAGCAACACGTGGTACTCAGTGTTCTCTTCTCAGAAGTAGAAGCTATTGCCTTTTAGTGTATCCAGTCATAAGCTTAAACAAAACCATGAAATTCACCTGCAGCTGGAAGCCCCTAGTACCTACTTTAAAATGTCAGTAGTGCCAGTTGTGCTGGCATTCCCTTAAACCCAGGAAATAATTCCTGACTTGCTTCAAAAGAAGTTGAGGCATATAAACATGCTAGTCAACCACATGTCAAAAAGTACTGTTGGTAGCCAGCTTGGTTTTTGGACTTCCCAGAAATGTTGGCATCTCATATTTGGCGGTCAGCCTTCATTGCTGCTGCTGAGAAAAAGGCTTGTTGTCTTTAAGAACAAAGGTTTTCATCTTTCTTATGCCAAATCCTCAAGCACCGAGTTTGCAGCTAATGTTTGGATGTGGGTAACTTCTCTCTTACTTCCCCACTCCCGCTGAATGGATATTCCCCGCCCCCCCCCCGACTTTTGCAACAGTTAAGATGACAAGTGTAATAAAGCAAGCTGAATTATACTTAATTATATGAAGGGGAAACTGCTTTGGCCAAAATATCCCTTCTCATTATATAGGTTTCCTGAAGGAAAATCATTATGCTGCTATCAGACTAGACTTTTACCTCATCTACTTGGTGTTGAGTCTGCTGAAGACGACGATTACTGCCAGCAGCCATATTTGAGCTTCCAGGGGCAGTGGCTGACCTGCAGTAAAGAAAGTCATCATTATTCTGTTTAGCTTTTGATAAGCTGTTGTTTTGGTTTTAAGTGGATATGCTTAGAGTACACGTTATCTGACATTCCTGAAAACAGGGAACTTATACCCCTGGAATAAATAGGGGGCAGTTGCCTACTGGAGAAGTGATGTTTTAACAACCGACAATAGGGGCAAGTCACACAGTGTCCCAAACATCTCACCAACGAATTGCTTGACATGCTAAAAGACAGCAGTGGCTTGCTAATAGTATAGTTTACAATAAAGCATACGACAACTCCTACAGTGGTTCATAGGGCTAAACATTCAAGAGTTGGGGCTCAGGGGTGTTCTTGTTTCCTAGTACGAACACAAATCCAAACAGTAGTTTACAAAAAATTAAATACAGAAACTTAATGGTTATTCTAACTATGTCCTCTTCCAGTGGCTGCCTCCATCTCTATTCTTTTGAAACAGTTGACACAGAGCAGGAGAAAGCACAAGAAGGAGAAAGCATTTGGCATATACAACAATTCACCTCTGGTCAGCTTTGACTTCATAACCTCAGGCAGTCCAAGTTCTTTTTACCAGCTGCAACACCCTGCCTCTTTGTAATGGATGACAGAGCCTCTGTACATAGTGTTCATACCCTTTTCACCGCTTTGGCAAGCTTTTGTTGCCTAACTCTAGAGCTATCTGTACTCAATTTGCTTTTCTGCATTTTCATGTCCTCCGCGTCAGAAGCGCGTACTGTTTGTTTCGTTCACCCCGATACCCGAAAGAGCCGAATCTGAGCATTGGCTGTATTGGCACGTTGACTTCCAATTTACACTTAGCGAGAACAAACGCGCACACGCACAGCGAGCAAACGGGGAAGCCTGTGCCAGGGCTCAAGAGCAGTCCACGTGTAATACCACAGAGCCGCTCCTCTGTTCCGGCACTTAAGTCACCCTTTCGTGCTGTTTCGCTGCTGATCCCAGGCTGAAGAGTCTCGGAAGCGAAACCTCTTCCCGGGAGCAGAGGGGCCAAAGGCAGCACCGACCCAGCCCCCGGGAAGCGCGCTCCCGGGGCCCTGCCCGGCCGCTCCCAGGGCGAGGCCTGGGGCCGGCAGCGCCCCACGGACCGCCAGGACAGGCCAGCCCGCCCCGGCAGAAGCCGATCGCCCTGACACCGGCCCCCGCCGCCGGCGAGGCCGGGC